GATGGTGGAAGCCCGGTGGTGGAGTACGAGGCATGTGACAGTGGCAGTGTGTCGACAAGAAGCAGGTCCAAGCACATTTGCCTTCGACGAGGTTCTCGTGGCAGGTTGCCATAACGAGTCGGAGATTTTGGCAGCCCTGCACGTGCAGCACACCGAGGTGAAGATTGCAGGCCGGCCGCTGGCGATTCTGACATCGTTTGCTCATGATGGAAAGTTAGACTCATACAAGATTCGACAATCGGTACAGGATGGTAAAAAGGCAAGATTCAGCAAGCTGGGACGGCGTAGCTACGGTGCTGCAGGGATTGTTGTGGAGGGGCCAATTTCGTGGTACTGTAGTAAAAATTGCGAGGTTGCTACCAGGGCGACGACCACAGCATCATCATCCTTATCATCCATATCATCATTACCATCAGCATCATACGACGTCAACGACAACGACTCCTCCTCTACTCCCACTCTTATTCCTACTACCCCTACTGCCCCCGCTTCCTTTACTCCCCCTCCTCGTCCTCCTCCTCCTCTTCCTCCTCTGCGCAGGACTACGCTCGCACCACCGCTACATTTTTGCAGTCCGTGCTCGGAACGAATTTGGCTGGAGTAACCGCAGTGGGTGGTCTCAGTGTTCGGAACACGCCAGTCCACCAGCCCGGCCTGATGCACCGAGTGGCTTGGATACAACAAGAGTACAGTTGGCGACGATGGGAAGACGGAAGAACAACTGGAGCTAGCGAGCATAGCACGCTGGTCCGGGGGAAGGGTGGTCAGTCAAGTTTGCAGGCCCATAGGCTGATGGCATTCGCCTTGACATTTTTGGACAAAGCCTGAGTTCTGAAACACACTATGGAGCAGTCTTCTTCATGCAAGACAGGTGCGAAGTATTCATGCGACATGAGGATCTCTTGGTCTTGTTGTTTCATGGTCTGTGACCGACGACTTTGACTTTCCGTAAGAGACTTCAGCGGGATGTCTATGAATGGTCTTCTTCTTCAGCCCAAGGGTACCAAGATTCGTGCTTCCCTACCCAAGGAGTTGTTCGAACAACTTCAACGGCCGTGGAGCTGTCTTGGCACCCTCCGGAAAGCGCAGCTCAGTTGCCACGAGCAGGACGAAATGCCGAAACACGGTAAGCTAGGTCTAGTTCTGAAACTTAGACGTCGGAGCCCAGAGATAGCATTTTCGTGGTGCGGCTCTCGTCTCTTCCATGTAGTCGAGCAGACCTTCTTCTGTCTCAAAGTTCAAGACAAAGGTCACGGTGGTGCTGGATTACGAGGTACGATGGGATGAGGACGAGGAGGAGGCGACTTCACCTGAGGAGGGTGCCGAAGAACAACGGGTTAGAACAACCCAGACCATGACAAGGATTGTGGGTTTGAAGCCATCTACACGATATGTCTGCCAAGTCCGAGCTCTCAATTCCTACGGCTGGTCCCGTTGGTCGGTCCGTGTTGCATGCCGCACAGATGTCTGCTGGGATGCGGCTTGCAGAGTGCGTGCGGCTCCAGGGCAAGATGCCAACAAGCATGCATGTGCCGCAGGGGACCCCCTGGGCGATGTCTCTAGTGAGCTGCTTCAAAGGCCCCTGGAAAGTGTGGCGGCCGAAGCCGAAGCCGAAGGTCGGAAATTCGAAGTCGAGTGCCTGACGACGCCGCCAACGAGTGCCCGTTCGCGTTCGTTTCGGCCGTCTCCGAGACTCGAACACGACTCCTGGGGCGTTCGACAGCGCCTGCTGAAGCACGTGCTTTCCCCCGTCACACACCTTTTCCGTGACAGCGAAATGGCAGCAGAGAAGCGGGAGGACGAATTGCAACCTGCAGATGCGTAGTTACGGAGTTTATACCTTCATTATGTGGACGTGGAGGTATATGCCGAATCGGACACTTGACAGCACGAGAAAGCATTCGTCGCACCATTTCAGCATCCCATACTCCACACCCCTGCCATTCTCTAAGAGCAAGAATCGTGCTCTCTGGGGTCGCTTGCATTCCCTGCATCCCAGTCTTTGCTGCAGGTATTGGAAGACAATGGAGGACATCAACGAACAGACGTCGCCGATCAACTGCATGTCATAATTCTCTTACTCTTAAAGGGAGCAAGGATCGGATAGTTGTTGCCATTTGGGCATACAGCTGCTGCCCTCACAGTTAGAGAGTAGGACAGTCAATGCAGGAAGACGGACTTGCCACAGCTGTGTAGGAGTCCTACTCTCTGGCACTGGGCCCACCATGGCTTGGGCTGAGCCTTGTGCTCTCTCCCTTTCAGTTTTGTCACATCGCCACCGAAGCCGCGGCGTTGGAATTCGTAGAACCTGCCCGAGAGCTTGGCCTAGCTTCGAGCGGGTGGATCCAATTCGTTACGGAATTGTCGTGTGGTTGTCGCACGAAGTGCGTGGCCTCGGCACTCCGTTTGCCTAGCTGGGTAGCTGCCCAGGCAAATGCGCGAACCGCGAGGCATTGATGCCATTTTTAGTCGGGAGGGTGTCATAAGCAACTTCCCCGAAATGGGCTCATAAGTCAGCCGTCATCTTTGCTTGAGTTGCATTGCAGTGCAACTACAATCCCAGGCTTCCAGGCTTGTACTGGTGCCTGTCCAGGAGCTGCATGCTCTGGAGAATTCGTTCATTTTTGAAGACCTTCATCGTGACAGTGTTCGCGACTTGTCCGAGCGCACTGCCCGGCCTCTCGCATCGGTGCACTTCGCTGCACAGATTGGGGTGTGTTTCTCAGACCCAGGCTTTGGCGACATGTTCATGTCAATGTGGCTCAGCTTCCAATCGCATCGTATGATTCGCTTGATCTAACAGTGTCTAACAGGACGCAATGCTCTACGTGCAGAAACTGGAGTAGTCTGAAGTCACATCTTGCACCGCCATGAATCCGCACGAGAGCAGGGACCCCCTGGAGCCAGGCCAGCGAGGCCAAGGCCAATTCGACAGTGAAGCGACTGGGAAAGACGGACGCAGCAAGCCCAAACCAGCGAGTGGGAAAGGAAAAAGCTCTGAGGGCAGCAAGGGCGGCAAAAAGGGCGGTGGCAGGAATTCCAGCAAGGGCAGGAACAATGGTGGCTACGGTGAGAAGGGATCCGAATGGGATGCTGCCCAGCGTGATCCTGGGAGACTGCAGCTGACCTTGGAGGATCTGCAAAGAGTAAGACCACAAAGATGCGTGGAGGCGTTCCCGCATTTGACTGTATGCTCGGATTGGCCAGAAGCTGGCAGGCCAGTACCCAGGTCCGGCTCTGTGGCTTGGCTTGCAAATCTGCAAAGTCTTTGCTTGCAGGGGTTATGTCTTGGCACACCTTAAGAGTGAAGCAGAGCTGGAACGTCGGATTCAATCACGTGCCACGCAAGGCTTTCTACTTGCCACTAATCTGGACAGCACTGCTTCCGCCAGCTGGAGCATCCACAGCAGAAATCGAGGCCTCACCGGCTGTGGCACAGATGCAAAGCTTGGGCGATGATAGGCACTTCAAGGGAGTGCGAAGGGCTTCCTTGGCCGATGTGCATCAAGGGCAGGTGTTTTGGAGGCAAGCCCAGAGCTCAGTTGTTCCCAAAGCCACAGCGAAAAAACGGGTCTTTTCTGAACTCCCGCTGAGTGCTCAGATATTTTCCGGCTGGGATGGCTGGGTGCAGAGACTCCGCATAGCCATGGCCAGCTTCAGAGCTCCGGATGGCCAGTCAGGTCAAGGGCCAAGTCACCGGCGTGTGCCCCGCCTGTCGTGCTCCAATTCCGACACCGAAATCTGAGGCTTGGAGGCTTTAGTGTCGCAACATGTGAAGACTGTCTCCGTGACCGCCGGGGCCGTCGTGTATGGTGACTTGAATGTCCTGGGTGCTCTTCCCCACATAAGCAATGCCCGGAAGTCACCTGATCAAGATGCAATCCTGGATCCTTGGCGGCAGGTACTTCCCCAACTAGTGGGCCCAGGCATAAAACAGACTTTGGGCAGCCTGTCCAGGAACTAGACCTGATGCTGCGGATGGAGGTGGACCTTAGGCTGCACATGTGGCCGTCACTGCATTCTGGGAGCTGATTTGTTTCAATCGTGTATAATTGTGTATTGATTCATTCCACAAAAGACTTGGGGGCTAGGGCAGAGTGTTTGTAGCTGGTAGCTTAGTTTGTTCAAACTTGGCACTTCTCGATCGACAGCTTGATGTCGCAACTGCTCTAGGGACCAAGCTGCTCGGATCGCACAGCACATAGTTGGAACATGTAATGTAGTTTCCAAATGCTTCCAACTCCCGTGTTCCCATGCCTCAAGCTTTCACTTCCCGTGGCCGTGTTTCTCTCCTTTAAAGAAGAATGCGCATTCCAGCTATGTACAGTGCAGTCCGAACTCCTCATCACGGATCTTGTGCGTCTCTGGTTCAATGCCTTGGTATCAAGCGTGTCTAGTTTTGGCGATTGTCGTTTATGTTTCCGTGCTTTAGTCGGAAGGGAGAGCTTGCAATCCTATGGTGGTGCCCATACGTACAACGGTCACGTTTCTAGGTTTCTTAAAGCGAGTGGCCGGAGAACGTCTTGGATCGTATGTGCATGCTCATGTGGTGCCGAGATGTCGTGATCTTTCCTGAGGAAGCTTCGGTGCAAACTCTCTATGTGGCTCTGTGAACCTCCGGCTTGTCAGTGACGCTGCTCTTACCAGGATTAGGTTCGACCGGTGGGAGGGACAGGTCGGACCGATCATGTGCCCTCCTCGATGGAACGACGTCATTAGCTAGAGCCTGCCAGAGCTGGATGAACGCACTGCATCAGATTGGTGCATTGGCTGATGACATCGCGCAACCAAAAGAGTACCACCAACATTGTCCCGACGGAACCTTTGACTGCCTGCTTGCACTGAAACTAACACTTTCTTGGCTTCCCTGGTCCGAAGAAAGTCAGCTTCAGCATCATTTTTGAAAAACAGATGCTGCAAATTATGGAATGCCAGTTGCCATGGTGGGCCTTGCAACGGGATGTCTGCGGAGGCTTCCCAGCAGTTGCACATGACCACAGGCGGACAGCTGCGAGATAGAGGAGCTTGGGAATCTGCACATGCCTCAGAAACGTCAATGCTCAGCCGGCTCAGCCCTTGCTTTCGTGGGCTTGTGCATGGCAAAGGCTGTGGACGATATCCAGGCAGTCGGGCCCTCGGCAATCTGATGCAAAGCTTGATCCACTGTCACTTCCCCGCAAGGGAGCTCGTTTCTGAATCGTGCCACACTCGTGTCCAGCTGTACCGTCCGAGGCCGGCATATGCAGAAGAGGGTGCTTGCGAGCGACTGGCCGCACGCTGTGCCGCCGAGGCCGGGCAGCGGGACATGGAGCTTCAATCCGAGTTGACTTTAATGAATTAAAATGCGACACTAAACAGCACTCTACGCTACAAGCCGTCAGCCAGGCATTCTGCAGTGTTCCGCTCGGGGAGGATTGAGCGGAACTAGGTGGTTGTTTTTCAGCATCTGGAAAAACAGGCTAAATTTTCGGGATCTGGTGAGAAAGGCTGTTGCGTCAGCCGTGTTGGAAGATCACCTGCCGCAGCTTCCAGGCGCATGCTTTTACTTCCCAGCAGCTCGTCAAGAACTCAGTTGAGGCAGAACTTGCTGACCGGCCACTGCAAAAAAACAGCATCTTTTCCTCTATAGGCCGCTGTAAGGTTTTGCATGCCTCCTTTGCTTGACTTTGTTTGTACTCTCCACCTGGAGTAGCAGTGTGTATGGTTGGCATCTTGAAGAAGTCTTGCAAGGCTAACGCCTTGCAGTGCCTCTGCCGAATACCGGGCCAAGAAGTGGCAAGCGAGGCATGATCCCTCCCTTAATTGATGTGTGCTGCATGTGTTCGGCAGCGAACACACTTCGACCTGGGTTGTTCGCAGTCTTTCCAGATCCCTCGTCAGCAGGCACTCACAAAAGCAGCGTGCAGATGCATGCGAAGCTTCAGTGACTCCGAACTGGTCTCCTCGGCGTGGTCTGCGACCGAGTGATGATCATCGTCCATGTCAGGGCCAAATCTTTGGGTCACCCGAAAGCAGGAGTGGGGTGTGCTGCTTTGACAGTTCGCAGTGGTGAGGGCGGGGAAATGCGGATGCCGAGCTCTGAGGTGCTTGGCGCAGTTGCGTCCTCAGGTTGTGGGGTCAGGATGCTCGTCAGCTGGTAAGCCAAGGACACATGTTGCGCTTCACAACCGATTGTGTGGTCATCGTTTGTCTAGGATGGGGTGTCGAGACCGTCTGGTGGAAGCCCTGTCGGAAGAGGCATCAAGTCAGTGTCAAGCAAGTTGACACCTTGGAACTTGACATCGGGTGTATCTGGGGCATGGAAGGTCCGGCGTCGCCTTTACCGACTGTCTCCACAGGAGCCGGCAGCTTGAGGTTGAAAGTTGCAGTTGCAGAGAGCAGAATCATCATGGCCAAAGCAATCATGCTCAAAGCAAGTGCGCTACAGTATGAAAAGAAAGGCTCCTGGGCTTCTGATGATTCCTGTGACTAAGGCTGATTTCACTGGCCGGCAGCTTTGCCACACTGAGTGGGACGGTGCCGGAGTTGATGAGGCCAGAGCCTAGAGCCATGGCGGCCATGGCAGGGTTCTTGTCCTTTCTGTTTGGAAGGTCCATGGTGTCAGCCGTTCTTGGAGGCCTGGAGCACTTGACTGCACAAGATGTTCGGAGCCCAGCAAGGCAGAGGGACATGATGCAGAATCCATCCAAGTTGTGTGCACAGCAAAGTAGAAAGCTGTCACGACTTGCAGCTTGCAGCAGGCACAAAGCTTCCATATGTGCTAACCTAAAACCAATTCAGTGACCCTCAAGTTGTCAGGTTCACAGTTTCTGTAAGGCCGAAATTAAGAAAAAGCTCACCAGGCCCAAGCCTCTTCGGCACCCTGCCCCACACTCACAAGCACTAACTCACACTCACACCCACGCCCACACTTCTTTTTCAGAGACGGTGTCTCGCATCTTGGCATATCACATGAAGCCACTGCATGGCCGCTGGATCTTGGAATGCCGGATGGTCTCAGACGGCGCGCTGCGAGCTTCAAGCACCCTTGCAGCGGAAGGGTTTTGCGAAGTGATCACCTGCCCTGCGGCCTTTTGCCTAGGGCACTGCAGAGGTCCCTGGACTACTTCCGCAGCCCCGTGCAAGGAATCTTGCAAGAAGAGACGTGTCTGGATCGCATCAGTGGCATTGATGACAGAAGCGACCAGATGCATGTGCCCGTGTGGAACTGAGGTGGTTGGGGTTTTCCGCGACTGTGGTAGCGGCTGTTCTTTGCTCAACTCTCCTTGCCTTGCAGTTGCCTCGCAGCTTGAATAAGGATTCAGGGCTTCTCAGCTCAGTGGTTTCATTCTGCGAGGGCTTGATGGGACCAACGTCTGAGTCTGGCTCAGCCCACAGGTATGCTTTTCTGGAGAATCATACGGCCTCCAGGTTGGAGTGGCTTGCATTTAAGACGAGATGCTGCGTGGGGATGTTCGAGCGTCCTGCGGCTGAGAACATTGCCAAGGATTGATTCCGACCAGAGTGAGCTGTTGAGGATAAGCTTCAACGTTTCGATAGCAGATTTATCCTGCGACTATGCAACAGTTGGGGCCGCTGGTCTCACATTAAGCAACAGAAGCCACCAGCATGTCCGGTTGCAGGAACCCCATTGCTTGTGCTGAGCTTGCTGCGACAGGTCTTTGATGCTTTCGGGAATGTCCGCTCGAATCTGACTCGGGACGTCCAGAAGCAGCCGATAGATCATAGAGGACTTCCTTGTATCATAATTTTAGCGCTACGCCGCCCGCCTCGGCTCCTCAGGTGCAGGGGGCGGATGAAACTGCAAAGGCTTCTGTATCACTCAGGAAATCTGAGGTCACGGCTTTTTTGAGATTTCTTCGAGCAGTACTCCCACGATGCAACAGGTGCGGGGGTGCCGTAGAGCTGCCTCTCAGCGAGACATGTCAGCGTGCGGCAAGGAGGAACGAACAGCGGAAACGCAGGGTTAAGGGATCAGCAGGGCCACAGGGGGGGAGGGGGTGCCTGTCGGGGCAAGGCGGCAAAAAACGGGTGTCTCGAAACTCGGACTGGAGGGAGGAGGATTAGGTGGAGGGTACAGACGCCTGGGCCTGAAAAAGATCAGTTCGTCGAGCACCTCCTGGTGCGAAGTGTTGTTGGCCACGAGTATTTCCTGGGTCGGTGTTAGTTGTCTGTATGGCGCTAACTCGTGTTGTCTTTTCTGCTACTACTGCTACTACCACCACCACCACGACGACGACTACTACTGCAGAAGAGTACCACTGCTGCTGCTCCTGCTGTTGCTGCTGCCCAAGCCAAGCCAAACATTTTTCAATGACAACTCCGTTCACCATTGTCTAATAGGAAAACCCCACCCAATCAGACCCTATCCAATAGAAAGACCTAAGCAGGATTTCGTCTCTGAGAACAATCGCATCGCATAAGACAGCCCTATCTAAGAGAAAAGCCTGTCTATTAGGGAAACCACATCTAAGAGGAACACCCAATGTAACAGAAAAGTGTTATCTTATAGAGCAATCCTAGGTCCTATCTACTCGGAAAGCCCTATCTAATGATCTAATGGTAACCCTATCTACACCCTGGGGAAGTCCTCCCTAAATCTTGGCCCTAGACCCTTTCTACTAGGAGATATCTGACTTTAAACCCTATCTACGACCGTGAAACACTTCGTTTCAACCTGGGCAGAAGGGAAGACAGGGAGGTCACAGGAGCAGGCTGGCGCCTCCTACTACTGCTACTACCGCTGCTGCCACTACTGCTGCTACCACTACTGCTGCTGCTATTGCTGCCACGACGACGACTACTGCTAGTACTATGCTACTAACGCCGCACTACGACTGCAACTACCCCAGCCCCACCCCTACCGCGACGACGATTCTTGCTATTGGGATGAGTACTACTTTTCAGTACTGTTAGGGCGCAGACGAAGACGAGGCCGACGACGACATGTGGACAGGAGCCGAGAAGGGCCACGCGTACACGGACGAGGAACTGACCGAACTCGTTGCTGGGCCGCACTGTGGTGTCCAATCATGTCGAATGCCTCCGCGTGAGTTTTTGGGCATGAAGATAGCTTGTCAAGCTGTGGCGAGAAAATGATATTAGTGAAGAGCTGGATGGTAGCATCGGATAGATCAAGCCTTGAAGCAGATGACGACGCATTGAAGCCAGTGCGAACAAGGAGTATGCAGACCGCCCGAAGCTGTCAGCAGAAGAACAAGCGCAGCTGGATGCCGACTGGTTGTCTGCAGGCGGTGATCATTATTGGGTGGGGTGAAACTCGCACTTGTTATCACGATCTCTTCAGTTTCATAAGTGACCATTTGATCAGATGCAGGCCAGGTTGAGCGTGGAGACTTCCACGATGCGTTGGAGGCATAGTTGTTAGTGCTTTTCCGCAACTGCAGCACATGCTTTTGCGTCTTGGTTCGACGTTTCTGGCAATCTTGGAAGGTCTGGAATCATGGAATCCGTGTTGTAGCAGTGCAGGCGCACGACGTCGTCTTTGTGCTGTTCTGCATTCGCACCGCGGCTCCTTGCAAGATGATGATGCCCGCTTGGGTACGTTGGTCAAAGGACGTCAACGAAGGACGGGGTTCGGGGCCTGCTGTTGCTTCTGTCCAGTGACGTTACTGTAAGAAAGATGTGAGCCGCAAGTGTTAGAGGCCCTGGAAGCCCGCGACTGCCAGACACTGAAGCCAAGTTAGAGTTCGAATCTGGGTTTGCTTGGGCCAGCGGGGCCTTCTTTCAGCTTAATTGAGCTGTCGGTCGAGCTTTCATCTAAGCAAGATTCTGGTTGCGTTTTTCCGCTCCGGCCGTTGGGATTCTGCGCAGACGTAGTGGTTTAGGTTAAGTTTAGGTTTCAAATGACGTTCTGGGAATCAGATCTGTTGGGGTTTTCTCAATATGAGGTTGGCAGTACAGACCAAACTAGGCAGGGTTGCTTGTCTAATGCGACAGAAAGCCGATTCCTATCTTTTGCCAGGACGTCTTGTCATGAAAGATGCAGATGGTGCGCGGGCGGATGCGTGGGCCTTGCAAGTAAACTGCGGCGCCGAAGGTTTCCCGGAGCTTTGCGAGCAGGACCTTTTCAGCAGGAAGGTGTCAGTCACGTCGGGTCCCACACGTTGTCGCATTCATGTGTCGCTGCTTCCTTCATCTTCCTTCTTGAACATGGTATCGTCGAACTCATGCAACAAAGTGTCGAGCTTGGATATCATCTCGAAAACGTATTTCTTGCAACGCAATTATGGAGTGGTGTGAGCTTGCGAGGCTCGGCACTTGTCCGAAGTCGCTTCCTGTATGGCTTTGCGTTGTCTGGAATCAGCACTAGCCACAGGAAAGTGTGACCCGCTTTCCTTTGCTGCGACTCTACCCTCGCAGTGTCACAGAATCTTGGACGCAGTGGAAGGGACTTTCCTTCGGTAGCCAGACGAGCGTTTGCAACTTAGGAGCGGGCAAAGGCACCACACCGCGACTTGAAATTCGCATTCCCAGGCGGAGACAGTGGGTTGGATGCTCATGTCGAAACCGGGAACGGTATGCCAGACATCGACCGAATCTCTTGCTGCCCTGGAAGAGCATAAGCACGATAATTATGCCCGTTGTTTTTGTCAGCACCAATCCTCTTGGCGATGGACATGTTCGACGGGATGATGATCATGGACCCAAAGATGGCCCAGCAGTGCTACGACGCCTGGTGCCGTGCACAGAGGGCCTCATATTATGTCAACGGCTTTGGATTTCCGTCGGTTACAGTTGCTTGGGAGGTGTTCAGCGGGCAAGTTCGGGAATCTGTCGAACATGTATAAAAGCGAGCGAAAACTACTTAGCTGGCACCAACATCTAAGGACGCTTTTACCAGAATGGCGGTCGATGTCGTCAAGGGACGCCACTTGCACACACACGTCACGAAGCACGAGGTGTTTGAAGAGGGTTGCCGTGTCAGCCGCAGCCTCTGAAAGGAACTCCTTGTCTCCTTGGGCAGACCTTCCATTGGCTGAGGCGGGCACATAGATGTGCCTCGAGTCCCTGGCACCATCCACATCCATGCAAAGAGTGCCGGGGATCACGTTCTCAACACAGCCTTCACCAATGTGTCTCACACCGTCCACCATCTCTCGTTTGGCAGGCCGGGGGGCCGGGGCAGTAAGCCGGTCGAACTGAAGTGGGTGAAGTGTGTGGTCGGTTGTGTTTGTATCAGCCGTGCCGGGCGCTGCACATGTTCCGGCATTGCAGGCCGCTGGATGCTGTGGACGAGCGCGAGGAGCTCAAGTCACAGCTTCCAGCAGCATGGCTGATATTCAATACAGATGTGGCAGTCGGTGGCCTTCCCCCAGGCTTCCCACACACCCAGTGTGTTCCCTTTGTGAACCATCCCGGAAAAACCTGTTTGAGTGTTTGGGGGGAATGCACCGAGCGATACGGCCATGTGCAGGTCCTGGTCCAGGTTTTCGAAGGTTTGAAGCTGTGCAGGCACTCAAGTGCATTGGCGTGCTCTCAAACCCGTAACGGCATGACATGACGCGACGGCCCGTGGTTGTCGCTGCGTGGATTTTTACGTCCGCATTTCAGACATTGACCTTGCCGATGGCGTGATTTTATGGTGCACTCTGATTTTCACCCATCATTTTGTCTTGTTA